TTATTCTATGAATGGTGGTACCATAGTGTTATTGAAATCTATTAGGTTAACCAAGCCTATGAAATGCCAAAAGCGATCTGTAAGAATACTTTCAACATATGCCAAAAGTTCATAGCTAGATATTTCGTAAATGACGACTACATGTCTTTAGCAATGTTATTTTGCTTATTCTTACCGCATAGTTAGCGTTGAAATTAATAACAGACTTTTTTCCCCTAAATTTCTATCTTTTACTTCTTTCATCGCTACCGCACGTCATGTTAATACTGCATTTTTAAAATGGACAGCAACTAAAATGGTAGGTAGTTTGTTATTAAACCAGACTTTCATTTGCCTACTTTAAGGACCTTCAAAAGCATTTCATTGTGCATGCCCCTTCTTTGATTCATGAACGCACACCATACATATGAGTTGTGAATCGAAAAAGAAACCGAAATTTCACATTAGGTTTTAACTTCTTTCAATTCACATGTCACTAATAGATAAATTCCTCTTAGATGAGAAGTGATTTAATGTTGTTATTATCAGATTTAGGAAGGAGTACTCCATATGACAGTGTGTCATTGGAGCGTGTACAATATAGAAATCTCAGATCATATGATACTTCCTTTAAAGTACTTGCAATCTGTCTAACAGTTTTAAGCGATCAGTTCCTCTGTATTGTTGCCAAATTTTATTCTGATAAAATGTGTGAAAAACTGTGAATTGAAGATTCTCATATCAGCAGCTGTGTATACATGTATAAAAAATATGACTTACCGTTTCTCACAGAGAATGCCGGTATTTCACTAATAATTGAGCCCAAGGCACCAAACAGATATTCAGGGGCAACAGTTGCATAATGTAGTGATGGTTAAGTAATTTAACCAGTAATCACGAATACACAGATGTTTTGAGCTGCCAGTCATTGTTAGTGATTGAGTTTCACAGTAAGTGAACTAGGATAACTTGATGCTCTCTAAATAAATAAAACTCCACAACTGGGAAAGGAAAGATGAAATCCGTATAGAGATCTTTCTTCGCATTTACTTGGTAGTTGTCATAGAGTAGACAGGGCGAATCGCATCCTACCGAACGCCTCCAAATAAGCCACACGAATTCGAATGAATAATCCTAACCTTTGTATTCCAAAACAGTTTATGCAGCCTTTCACCTGCCTTGACTGGAAAGGAATCAATGAGTGGTGTTACATCTGATGATTTTAAAATACTTTTTTTCCAGTTTTATTTTTATTTTTTACCCCTCTTACTATGATCACACTTAGACTTTGTTTATTCCCTAACTTTATCGCCTAATATTATATAGTCCGATTGTTCTTTCCAAGCCTAAAACTACTTTAAAAATTGGATTGCTTGTTGACATCATCACGTCAATCTCATTAATCTTAAAATCACGTACCGCTATCGTTATTACAACCTTCATCATGCCAAACTGTAAATTCCGAATCCATGTGACCGTTAGAGAGAGAGAGAGAGAGAGAGAGAGAGGGAGAGAGAGAGAGAAAGAGAGAAGGAAAAAATGGAAAAGACCAAAGTATGAATGTTTCCTCTTGCGCAATTTGTCCACTTAGTAGTAATTGTTAGGAGGAGGAAATATGATCACACGCCTGGCTTATATTATTACTCCAGTTTAATTTTCTGTGGATTGTGGTAAAAAGCGTTACATCCATCTTTTCCCTTTGTAAAAGGAAACAATTTTATTTAATACTTTCCCAACAGTTGTCTGAGTAATCGATAAAACAGAAAGAAAATCGCCAAAGTGAAAAACGGTTTACCGAAAGTACCCCTTAACAGATACAAAATTTTTACACACATATTTTAATTTTAAACTACATGCTGTCTGTTCATTTGAGATATTATGGCAACGAACTATAAAATAAGAGAAAAGATTCTTACTTAGCCCAGGCTGAGAACAATCTTAGATTTTTGATTCTGTACGTAATTGGAAGGTTCAATTTTTCTGGCTTATTCAATTTAATAATGAAGAATATTGTAAGCGCTAAAATCAAACATTTGCGGGAAAAACACTTCTGTTCTTATCGAAGAATCTCAGTGGATGATTCAAAAACGTTTACGTAATTTATATCAATGTGCTTGTGTAATTGATATTGGAAACTAGCAACACTATGAAATTTGAATTTGACAATCTATTATACTTCATTTGAAAACGTAGGAAAACATCAAATATTCAATTGCATTCTATGTAAATCCCGCTTAGTTTCTTATTCCTTCAATACAAAATGACTGAAGTGAATTAACATATAACAAAAATGCCTTCATGAACCTAATGAAATATGCAGCTAAATTTGCTAATTCATTATTTGTTGACTTCATCTAAATCGGAAATGTGGAAGGATATTAAAAAAAGCCTTCTCAAAAGTAAGAGTCAATCTATGTACTACATATATGTACTTCAATCATGAAAGATTTGAAAAAATAATGTCAAAATATAAATAAAAAGCGGGAAACCGTAGAAACGCTTGAAATAACCAATTAGGCTTCTTCGTTTTGGCTGGAAAGACAGATTTCCATAAGATAGAGAAGTCTGATTGGTTACTTAAGTTGTTGCTAGGGTGGCCTTCAAAGTCACTCACAAAGAGCTTTTGATTCAGTTGCTGTTTCATGTGGATTGATAAGTTTCAAGGTATAAAGCATCATGTACTGATGGTAGTTGGAGAACCAATGGACAGCTCAGAACATTGGATTGCTATGACTCTTCAGTAATGCACACCCATCAAGCCATGGAGAGTTTAGCCCAGGACCATCAGGTTTCGTGGTTAGCTATTTAGCCACTGAGTTAGAATCTAATGGTCCATACTTGCGACTTTGTTCATTTGCGGTGTAGTGCAGTCAGCATTCAGCACCATTTGTTCTCGCATCCTACTTTGTCAACTCTCACATATCACTGCTTCTCTCTAATGTTCTTAGATCCTATAATAGCGGAAAATAGCTGTCCAGTGTTCACAGATTTTCACTGGTTCTCCAACTGAGGTCAGTCAATAACAAATTCTACTTCGAAATAAATAAATCTCCATAAATGACAGACTGAATAGCTATCCAGTGCTCACTAGACGCTTGCTTCGTGATGAATTTCTCAAAATTCTAATGAGAAGTTACCAACTATAGAGTCAACCGGGTATGGGGAAGATTTTTAATCGATGGCGTTGGATAATGGTTGCATAATATCGTGAATCGAAAGGAGTAGAAAAATGTGAACCAGTGGATTCCAAGTAGTGACATAATGGTAAAGTGCCCACTGCAAGACCTGAAAGTGCTGAGCTCCACTCCACGTGGGTTCATGAATGTACACTTCTGAGAAGTCCCCTACTATGATGAAATATATGTTCAGTACTCCTAATTTCTCACTGGTGTCTTAAGCGATATCATTTCGTGACGAATAACACTTTTGAAAACGAAAGTTAGTTTATTTATATGTGCTGACGTACTTTTGTGAACGACATCAAAATACAAATAGATTTCAAGGAAACATTCAAGAAAACGCAATCACTGTTATTTCAATGGATACTGAACTTACGGATTAATATAATAACTAAATCTAGTCTAAAGGAAGATGAGTTATCATCCTGAGTTTTGAATATTTCATTACTGATAGACAGCTAATGCAATTCCTTCAGTAAAAACCGTAGTGATGTATCCTTCAGTAAACCGGGGCTTAAACCTTCCGTATTTGACTCAACATTACATGTACCCTCAGACGATAATCAGGATATCGTGTACCACAAAATCAACTGAGGTCCAGAATATTTGCCCTTGAAGAAAAGTTATTAGCTCAGTTAATCAAGTCATGTATCTAGAAGGCTTAATTTTGTAGATATAATCTCAGGAAGTCAATAATGAATAGGAGTTTCGTAGAAGGATTCCTATGTTGCTAGCAGACCTTAGACTGTTGTGCTCACGTTTAAGTAGAAAACAAATTGCTTTAGTTAACCTGATGTGGCACGTGGTGAAACAGTATTATTATGTGGGTGAGTTATAATATAATTCACTGCTCTTGGTCATACTAAGATCATTATATCACATGGAATTACATCTTTCAGTCAGATGATGTCAAATCTTCACAACTGACCAATAATAAACGATATATATTTACCAGTCAGTTTTATATTGGGTTGTGCTGCAGGGCAAATTGATATGGGTGATCCATTTTCAACTGATGGGCTACAGTCTCAAACCTGGATGCACCTACTGGGGTTTAGACAGTATTAAAAGACCTCATTAACCTGCACATAGTTGCTGAGTTGCGTTTCGCTATGTTTGATAAAACTGGTGATGTGAACTGATAATTGACTTACCAAAAGTGATAGTTTTTATTATGTTAGGAATTTCTAAGATGCGTTTCACTTTGGAATTGCATCAACTAACTGAAAAGTTATCGAAAATGTCTGAAACCTTTCTTACCAAGTGACTCTGAAGGTCACTTCAGCAAAAACTGAACTAACCAATTAATTTTTGTCATTTCCTCGAAAACTACCATCCCAGCTGAAATTACAATATCTAACTGGTTATTTCAGTAGTTGTTTGGGTAGCCATTAAAGTCACTCTTCTTAGCAATAATGCATGAACTATAATAGTATTCTGATATTTTAAGTAAATTTTTTTTAAACGGTTTTGTTCGCATAATTAACCCCAGCGGGTTTATTCGTTAGCTTCATAAACGTTTACACCAAATTTAAATGAGAAGGCATCTGAGGTTCAACAATCATCCGTATCTAAAATTAGGGTATAAAGTGTGCTCTCCAAAATCTAAGCAAAATGATCTGGTGGTTAGATGCTAAAATAGTTTTCGAAAGGTATTAACTTAAAATGATAATGGAAACTAACTTGTATCTTATTGAGGGTTAGGAAACTGAATCTAACAAAAAGCGTTCTTCAATTGAACCCAATCTATTAATAGAAAAATAAGTCACTCCCAGAAATATGAGGAGACGTGAAGCCACTAGACTACGAAGTAATTTGAATATCTTTAAAGAGATAAAGTAACCACTATCCGCTTCCCAGTCTTTGGTAGCTGCTTGACTGCTGTCCATAGGTAATAAGGCGTTTCATTTTTTCCCTGTGAAATAAACTGCATGTTAGGTCTGTGATGATAAACTCAAATAAACCTTTGTATTTGATCTCACTTTGAAGATGGTTCAAATCAGACACAAATATGAAGACATAATGGTTTATCAAATTCTAGTGATTTTTGGGAGTGGAAACAGCACGAAAGTTGGTTACTGGTTTTAATAAACATTGGTTACCTTACTTACTTGTAAGCAAGTTCTTGGAGTTGATGGTAGTTCAACTGGAAGTAATGTAGTTGCACCATATATAATCATCCCCCATATAAAATTAATGGCGATTAACAGAGGAGTTGCAAGAGCATATTGATTGTAAATGAGTTTCATGGTATTTTTGAAAGTTGGTGTGGTGTTCGAATGATTCTGTTTTTCCTCAATAAGTGATAAATTATTGACAAAACTGAAAGGTTTTTCTGAAAAGTTATTTTCCACATCTGTGCTTTCAGGAATGCGATCATTACACCGTGCTATTTCGTCCAAAATTTTTGCTGCCTCTTCATGATTTCCCCACTGAGCCAAAAGAATGGGGGACTCTTGAATGAAATAGGCTAGGCCAAATGCACATAGCAAAAGCGGAGCTGTTGTAAAAAGCACAAAGAATCTCCAGCTAAGTTTTGACACTGAGCATCCAAGGCCAATACCAGTTACATACAGAGCAATAAACGAATCGAAGAAACAAACAAGTAACTGACCAGTAGCTTGATAATTCTCTGGAAGTACTTCCGATATCATTGAGCACCCAGCTGTTAAGAGACCACCGATGTACAGACCTGAGATAAAACGCAATGTTGCAAGCCATGAGTAGGTGGGTGAAATCGCACACAGCCATGTCATATGAATAAGTGCAAGACAACAAACTACATTCAAATCCTTTCTTCCGAGTCTATCTGAGAGGTATCCAATGGGTGGAGATCCTATGCATACACCCAAGAAAACGAGAGTAGTAAGGAGAGCAACATAATCCGAACTCATGTTCCATTCACAGCGCAATGTCGGTCCGAGAATCGCTTGAATCAATGTTTCCATCGTATCAGTCGCTTGCGCCATGCCGATAATTACAATAACACGAACTTGATACCAACCAAAACCTAGCTGGTCTAAAATAGCCTGAACTCCAGAATGTATAACGACGTTCGTCGAGTCCATGGTTCTAAATGGAAGAAGTTTTAGAGAAGTGTGTATTTCTATCAAGAAAACAGTTGCTACATTTCGGCCAATCAAAAACTGACCTTCGGTAAAAGTACATTAGCTGTTGATGACTTATGCAGTTTACTGTAAAAATATCACACCATTATAAAACCTTTTAAAAAAATAACGAAAAACAAAACAGTATGCTAAAATGTATGCCACAGTCCTTCTTAAGAACAATTGAAACGTTGAATTCACAAATTCGTAGATAATCGACGAAATACTATTTGTAATTAAATTTGCCTCCCAAATTAGGAAACTTGGATAACTTTTTTAAGTTAGGCTATAATTATTAGAAATAACTTTAAGTTTTGTTTGTCTGCATTAACTATATTAAATCGGGCATGCTCATATGGCGGTGAAATGGTAAATGTCTCTCGAGCTGCCCTGATAGTTGGGCTTTGTGGACTTATACACGCTGCTTATTCTGCTGCACAACGTAAATTTACCGCCATTCTGAAGTTTAATCTATTACAGATCGTTCCTACATTCGTCTGACTGAACAGGAATACAGCTCACTACCCGCTGATGTAATTTATGACCTTTCGTAGTTATGACTGAGTTTTACAGATTGTGGTGCAAATCGTTTTGTCCTTTATTACTGTGTGCATTGGCCTTTTTGGTCTCACTGGAAATTTGAAAGAAATAGAGGCAGCTGCTGAGTTCAGAGATAAGTAGGTTGAGCCAGATATTTATATAACTTTAGAACTTGGGATTCACTGGGAAATCGCCCTTCCTTTTACATTTTTCACCATCGCAAAGTCCCTGCTTAGTAGACTTTACCCGATAGTTTTTATGTGTTTTCCAATGGCCTCTATCCCCCTTGTTGTTGGTCGTGGGCATACAGATACAGTAACAGCCTTGTCACTCTCTGATCGTCTGCTGGCTTCTGGAGGTGAAGATGGCAATACGTATCTCTGGTCTCTGGATCAAAGTCAATTCCCTATTCTTCATGCTCGTAGATTCGACCACTGCTCCAGTGTTAAATTCAATGTTAATAAGTCCAACATTTTGTACGGGGCTTACGGCCAGGAAATCGTGTCATGGGACATCCGTAACCTAGCTGAACCGCTTGCTGTTTGGAAAGTAAGTTATCAGTGTTCCGCACTTAAAACCACTTCTCCTAGGTGAACGATGAAGAAATAAACTCGATTGATGTTTCTGGAAATGAGTATCGCCTTTCATCTGCAGATAATTCTGGAGCTATTCAGATTATCGATCTAAACACTGGTTGATTATGCGTACACTTAAGAAACACGATAATATATGCTCCTCCGCGAAATTTCGGCCAGGTCGTACGTGGCAGTTGGTTAGTGGTGGTCTCGACTGCAGAGTTGTCGTCTCTGATTGGAAAGGATCAGGTCTTGGTGTTATTATCTTTGAAATGGATGAAATAGTTGAAACTTTGGATCAGGTATTTCAGTTGAGGCCAAATGGTGCCGACCAGCGTCACGAATCAGTCGCAAGTAGCGATGACAATGCAGAGATTGACAATCTAAATGGACCAGAAGATGATTTCGAAGCAACCAGCGTTGAAGCTACATTCGCGAATGAACAGTCACTTGTTTTTGTTGAAGAAAGCTCTCAAAGTTCATCTTCTGGACTTGGTTCAGATTCTAGAAGTGAACGTTCCGTTGTGAATGACGATGAGGACGATGCAGGAGTCACCAATGATCACACATATTCACGGGTAGTAACACAGAACGAAATGTGAGTAGTAAAACATTTTATATTCATGACAAGTTGGCTAATATAAGTTTAATTTAACTGCGAGCGCTACTTTGATTTCAACTGTTTTTCAGGGATTTTTGTCTTAGTTCTTGTCACATCACCTGGAACTAACCTCATCTACAGTTCTGCCGTTCATTTTACTTCGGAGTGACGGTGAAACAATTCATCAAATGGGTAGAACTGTCAGTAGTTGAAATCCTCAGCACAGCAAACCCGTCTGTGTTGCTTTTTATTCAAAGTTAACCGTAGTGACATTCGCTGGAAGCTTTTGGTTGCTACAATAATTATTTTTGGATGTACTTCAGTGGTTACTGCCGACTATATTAGTCTGGACACCGCCATCAGGGTTGCGACTGGTGATCAGAAAGCTAAGCAATGCTTTTAAGCTGTGGGTTCCAGTAACAAACAGTTGTCTTACCATTGTATTAGCAACTTATCACTACTTTATTGGATTGAGATTGCGGAAATGTTCGTCAGGTATTCTACTTCTTGTTCATTTCCCCTACTTGCACATTAGCCATTCATCAAAACGACTGCTCGTACATTTTGGTTTCTTTGAGACACTATCTACTGAGTGTGTGATTGGAGACTACTGATGTAGTCACGTTTTCCAGTTCCAGTCAGGATATAGTTGTAGTATGCTTTTGACTAGTGTATTTTTATTGGTGCGTTCGCAAGACCTAAGTGTTCAGCACAAAAATTCTTGTCTATAGACACTTGGTGCCTAACTTAGGCTCAGAGATAACTAACCAGACAAGTTTCGCATTTGATTATCATTGTGTCAGTTATGCACCCGTCCTTCGTGTTTCATAACCAATCTCAGAATCACCTAAATTTCCCGATATCCCTTGCCTATTGACTCGTTATTATGTCATGTTATAACCATGCAGGCGTATTACGTTGCTGAGGGTTCTGTTAAACATAACCGCGCTGTTTTTTACAAAAATTAATAATTGGCATTCTTAATTAGCCTTACTGCAGACGAACTGATGAGTTAACTACTTAGCTACTGCTGTATGCAGACCATATTTACAAGACATGTTGTTAGACAGTGGTTGTCAGCCCTGAAAAATCTTGGTATGCACAACATTTTTAGCGAGTATATGATGACACAAATAGTTTATTCTCAACGAGATGTGTATCATGTATCATAATTTTTGTATATTAGATGAGTCATACTTACCTTAGAGATGCGTCCAATTTTTTTTAACGACTCACTAACCTACGTTACATAACGCTAGCAAGTTATCTAACTGCCTGTTAAGCATGCGTATGACTCATGACTGTTCCATTACGATATGGAACCGCCGAGTAGGGTACAGCGAAGCACGATACTTAGATTTTTAGCGAGGAAGGTTGGCTGATGATAAAGTCCTACTAGAAGACGGTACTAAAAAATGTAACGCTTGCTTATGGTAACTGTCAGCTCCTACTGGAAAATTCCAGCTCAAGTTGAAACTGGCCATAACAAGAGATGTTGAGCTGTAGATCATTGATCTAGTCGTGGGTTTGAATCGCGCCCAACCTACCTAGGTGTGGGGACCCACGTAGTTGAATTGCGGCGTGGCTCATTGCCTATTGCACAAACGTCCCCAGGGTTGCTAAGTGCGTCTCTTTTGTCGCATACCAAGAAATTACATCAACGAGACTACTGACAGTCGTTCAAAGATATGTAACATCTGTAGGCTTATGACGTGATTTCTAGTTTAAAAATTGGTTGCCGAATCCACGGGGTGCCTCAGTGCAACTGAAGGTAGATAAACCAGTCTCTTCCGAGGTCACGTCATTTAACATTACTTTTCTGAGGCGCTTATGAAGAAAAGTAAATTAATAACAGTGGCACTACACAGTCATTATCAACATATGACGTAACTGCTGCTTAACGGTCCAAATTACTACAAACCTTATCCGCACGTCATTAAGAAGTCACCAGAATGAAACGGGGAACTAAATAGTGTTGGGAAATCGTATAGAATTGAGGTGACTGAAACAAATATGGCAGTGAGATAATGCCACTAAATAAAAACATGAAGCTGCATCACTTACATTCTCATGTCACCTAGAGCATCTAAACGCCGATTTTTACTGCCATGTGGAATGCAGTTAAAGACTTGATTGACCGGTGCTGTGTTGTAGTCTGGCTTCCTCTAACCTTTAACCTGCCTAAAACTACTTCTGCTAACATTGCTTACGAACGCAAACGGTAATAAACATGTGCAACGCATGTCATCGTCAAAGGATTTCATGAAGTTTCATAGCCTCATCAACTGGTTTTCTCCGTCTACCTAAAACTCAATGCCTAACTTCTGCATTTCTGATTTGTTGCTTCTACGACCTATGTAGCGAGGACAACAATGATTAAACACCTGAAGCCCTCGTTTACATGTCTTTCAGCGTTGCAGTAGATCAAGAGAACTGTTGTGCAGTAAGCTCGGCCCCTTTCAAGTAATGAAATGTCACACCGGCCTCACAAATGACGGCGTGCAGACATCAGCGTTCGGGGTTATACTGCTGTCACTCAGTCAGTATCAACATAGAGATTGGCAATACTGTGTAACAATCTTAGTTACTGCAACTACTATCACCATGTTAAAGCCGGTAAAAAAAGATAAGTGAAGAAATGGAAATATGTGTAAGTTATAGGGAGTTATATCACAAAAGGATGACATTAAGTGAGTGGGAAATTCTAAAGTTACTACAGTTTCTACCTTTGTTATTTTATAAATTCAACCACTGAGTCTGTAGGGATCCTGTAAGCCATCCTACTATATTCCAACCTTGATCAAAGAAATTCCAACTAACGTAGTTCGAACAGACTGTTGAAAAACACTAACTTATAATAATCACATGGCCAGAGTGCATACCCAGAAGTGAAAGTGCAAACACAAGTATTTAACGCTTATAGTCCGATTGTTGAATACGAAGGTCCCACCTAGCAAGTTGGTAAACTCTGGTTCCAAACCAGTAATGCACATGGCCTCCACAATTCAGAACGGATAAGTAGTCTACGAATCTTAGTTACTGGCGACCATGAGAATACAACAACGCTTTGCTGCTTTGTGAATCGGATTTTAGGTCAAACACTCCTGTAGTAGTCTCCTAAATCAAACATTTGCTTCAATCTGCATGTTCTTGTGACATCACAATCCGTAATAATCATAAAACATTGACAGTGAAGAGTCTGTAGCGCTTATCAACTCGACGAAGCAACCGAAGCTTTACTGTTTTTCAAATTTTTACTGAACTACTTGGTTAGTAATTTCATCCTTATTACTTTTATAGATAAACTATCTTGTCTTTCATCGTCACATTTTAATTTATCTGTATGTGTATATTTGTTCCACTCAGCTGCTCGTTCCTGACTAAAATTCTGGTGTCTGCACCATCTTGAGTCGTTGAACAGTCGCTTCCACAAATTTGTCGTTCAGTACGATTTCTGACTCAAGCATTGTTTAACCACATAGACCGACTGGTCGTCCCCAATGATCGGACCTTTGTGCGAATCGAAAAACAGACAGGCTTGGCTAGGACTCCTAAAATCTTTATCACTGTCCTTTATCTCAGACCTGTATGCAGGAGCATAGTGCTCTCCATCTATCAGTTCGAAAGCGTCTTAAATGTTGATGCTGGCAGCGGTAATGACCATTTTGAAGAAATTAATCTCTCTGTTGTACACCTATTCATCAAAGCTAGGATCATACTAAATTGTCTATGTACTTAGCATTCAAAAGATGGATGCCGACCTTAGTCTAACATTTTCAAGGAGTGCTGTAAATCACTTAATTTTTCGCCGGTTTCACTCGTGGTAGCTTGGAACACGTTACTCAGTGATCCCAGACCCCATTTTGATGCTGAGTAACTTTGTCATTGTTGTGTACATAGGGGTCTGTAAATTTATCTTCAACCATTTGACTTTGTTGAAGCACGACTTTAAGGATTGTTACTCATATTGTTCTTTGTTTTCAGGTAACCACTGAAATCGGTAATTCAGGTAGTTTGGATTGGGTTGGTAAACTACTATCAATAAAATAATTACCTCTCGATAAAGTCACTATCAGTATTTATGTTTCCTTTTGAGTAGTGCAACTATTACGCTTAAATTTTTTGTTATTCAGGCACAGCCACATGCTCCGGGTAATCACATATCACCTGATCATATTACTTGGAGAGCTGGTTTACCAACCAATCGTCCTATGGTTCATTCCATCGCTTGTTCGGCATCTGGGGATTTTGTCGCCGCTGGACTCGAAAGCAGTACCATTGAATTATTTGCCGGGAATGGAAAACGTCTTAACCACTCGGAATCACTCTATGGACATAATGGCGGAGTATCTGCTTTACATTTTATCAATGTACGTTTGTGAATTTCCTCTTAAATTGCTAAGCAAGTATACAATTAAATCAGTTGCATTTAGTTGACGAGGTTTGCTTTAAAATCATGTTTAGATTTACTGAGGAGCTAAGTGGTTTAATTGTAAATTGCTTGTTTAGTTCATACTCTAGCATACAATCAGTATTCTTTTTCTCATATTGGTCTATTTGAAGTAATTGTGGTTTAAGATGAAAAAGGGCATCTAACCGTGGAATTTTGTGAATTAAGTAAATTTCATATTTTCCTACTTTCTGAATATTTATATTATTTGACTCATCTTATTCCCGTGTACATACGTATGCGAAATTAACTTTTTTTTATAGGATTCATACCTTGTTAGCGGTGGAAATGATCGAAATATATTTATCTGGACGTTGGGTTCAGAAGTTACAGTACACAATTTATTCCATGGTGAGAAAGTTAATGCCTTTGAAGGTACACGCCTGAATCGTATAATAGTTGCTGACTTCTCACCTGTCATCCAAGTAAGTTGTTTACTTTATATATGTAATGAGAAGTTAATTACCATTAAACTTTGATTGAACGCTCGATGTTGATCTCATCGTGAGCATTTTTTCCTCCTGATCAGATCGTGTGGAATTTTTTAAAACCACTCCGTTATGCTGTATATTTTCGGCTGTTGATCCCTTTTGCTTTAGCTTATTTACCTGACTAGAAAATCCAAAGTAGTTTTCATGACGTCAAATGTGTAGATTCTCCTCCCTAATTAGATTTTGAGCTGCATCTGTTTGTCAAGACTGTGAAGCTAACTCTTAAACTAACCTGGTAGACTGGATTTAAACCAACGAACCACTTCGAAAGTTGGGAATGTAAGACAATAAGCTTATTAGTCACCCTTAATAGTTATCGAAGAATAGTGTAAACAGAGACGTCTATCGTAATGATTTTATTCTCATTTATTGAAAGTACGTAGTATGACAGCACCAGGAAATGCACCATACACAGTAACTATAACATTATTAAGATGTAAAGTGATGTATGGAAAGGGAAAATTGGAACAGAAAAAAATAATGAGTTACTCAAGAAGCTGTCTCATGGACGGATTCAAAATACCCTTCACTGCTTTCGCTTTATTTGTCATTCAAGGAATAAACAGAAAAGCTATCTAATAATCGCTCTCAGTTTCCATTATTTGGACCCGGTCCAGGGAGTGACAGACAAACAGAGCAACTTATCGCCCTACACTGAAAAGGTTCGGTTGGATTTGCTACAGTTCACAGAGGCATCTAGAGAAGAAATGGATAGGAAAGATATTGAGCCGAGCGAAAGCATATTAGACATGAGAAAGTAAGTAAATAAAGGTTGGTAGAAATGTTGGGGAATTAGAATAGGACGAAAATCGTGTATATCAGCGCCATTGCGATCAATCTAAGCCATATCATCACCTACCTTGGCTAACATCAAACCTCGAAGTAGGTGATCACCCGAAATATGAGATACAGTTTCAAGTCATACCAATCGGTGAAAGTCCACATCTTTGTTGAATAACTTGCCTCTCATGTGTTTCAGTCGCCTATGATCACTGCCACAGAGACGTGAATTCAAGTCCCAAGCTAACACTACCATATCTCAATCGCGCTTGTTGTAGGACGTCATTCAGTCGATGGTAGAGCGGCGTCCGAGTCGCAGTCTGTTAGAGTATAGGTTCAGAGACGAAAAGATATCGTGTTCCCTGTCACTTACTTACCATTCTAATCGAACCTAACAGCACACAAACTATCCAACCCTAGATGCCAGGACCGAAGCTATACTAATCGACTGCATCCCCATCAACGTTTGTTCATTTGTTGTTAGACTGAACGATTCGATAAGAGTGATAAGTAACTGGTCAGAGGAACGATGCCTCTCTGTGGTTCCTGCACCTATGCTATGGATTACTCCAATTTAGATACACTTTAGTTCCACCATGTGGGGCTGTGGCCTAGTGGTTTAGGAAAATGACCACCAATTATTGGGTCACGGGTCTGAGTCCCACTCCACCTACCAAGGTTTAGGCAGCCAGGTATCACTAACCCTCGCAAAACAGGTGTGGCTCATTGCTTGTTGCACAAATGTGCGCACAAGGTAGCTGAGTGCGTAGTTCCACTATCGATTGAGTGACATCTACCAGGTATGTTCGATAGAAGTCGTGCTAGCTGGGAATTCGAATGTATAGGTCGGCATGTTAGGGTCTTAGAAGCTGGGGAGAAAAGTCAGTTGGCGAGGTTATGAACCTTCGTCGAACCAGGTGACTGCGACATGATTTACTAACGCTTATTACCGTTTGCGTTGTTAGCTAAAGAGTACGTTTAAGGTAGGAAAAGGGTTGGAGGTGACCAGACTACTACATGGCATCAGTCCATGAAGTCATTGACTGTTACTCTGAGCATTGTAAAGTTTCCGTGCGACAACCGTAATTTGTGTTTAGATTCTCTAGATTATATTGCTCAGAATTGATGTAATGCCGCTCCCGATGTTCATGTTAACTGATTGACTAAACGCAACCTTGGTGTACTCATTTTTCAATAGAACTCACGGGAATATCTCTGCTTAGACAGTGTCACATCTTACTACTGACCAGAAACAAATGATCGTCACAACAAAACCGTTTTTGGTTCATTGATATGGCATACCGTAGATACCTATCAGATGATTTTTGGTAGAATCCACCTTGTGTATCGTCCGAGCTGTAGTCGGTGGTCGCGTGGGTAGAGATTACAATTAAAACTCGGTGAGTGTCACTATTCGTAGCATTTTTCGTAGGTCTTGAATTGATGGGAAAGGTTTGTAGCTCAAGATGAGGATAATGACGATTCGCAATAGCTGCTACCTTGACGTGGTGGTCGGGCTTGCATATCACAATGACCCAACGAGCTATGCTGGTGGAACGCTTGTTCCCTCGAGGTCCTACCATACCAGAAAGGTCTGTTGGGTAGTGGTTAGACGAAAAGCAGTTACCGTTATAGTGTAAATTGCTACACTATGATGGGGGTCTGAGGGCGAAGTCGTACTGCTGCTAGCTGGATGGGGTGTGACAGCAGTAAGGTGTTTCCCTTGGATGACCAGCAGTGCCATGCTGATGCTGCCTTCTCAGTGGAAGGGGGGGTTAGAAAAGGTCGGCCCCAAAAATAACACACTCCACCACGCCCCACGGTCTGCCGGGCCGGCGGTGTTGGTTCACTTGTCGTTTCCTTTCGACCATCCGGCCCCAAAAATACAAAAGTTCAAAATAATCATACTCAAAAGGCTGGGTGTGACAGGCCTCAAGCAGATGTCCGATGGGCTCTGCGGTCACACAAATCTCTTTCAGGTACCTTAAGAAGAAATAGCCTTCCACGGTGTGGGCAGCCGGGAAGTGTCAACCGCCCTCACAACTCTGTCAGCACCCAAGTTTCTTCTGACTGCTATCCTCCTCCTCCATCATTACCTTCTAATCTTCCTTCACGTCTCTTAATTAATGATGCTGCATCATCTTCAATTTCTCCTACCTCTGCAGCCTTCGACAACGATCTGAGTCCACAGAACAGCATCCCTGGTCTCCTTAAACCACGCTCCAAATTACATATTGGAGCCTTCAATGTCCGCACCCTCCGTCAAATTGGCCAACAGGCTTCGTTAGCAAAGACTCTAGCAACTCGGGCATGGATGTGTGCTGTGTTTGTGAGACACGCATACAGGACCCAAGTGTGGTTATTCACCTGACCTCTCCTGACCAATCTGGTGAATCTGCAAAATTCACCCTTCGAGTTTCTGGAGATTCGATAGCTAGCTCTCGTGGTCTTGCAGGTGTAGGTATAGCATTAAGCACCAGGGCAGAAAACTCACTACTAGACTGGATCCCAGTTGATAGTCGCCTCTGCGCTATGAGGCTGAACGGCACAGTGAGAACTAAAAGGAATAGTGAGACTCGCCGTTGTCTCTTTGTAATCTCTGCTTACGCACCCACTGACTGCAGTTCGGATGAAGTGAAGGACGAGTTCTACCATAAACTGTCTAACCTCCTCTCGAAAGCCAAACGTTCGGACGTAGTGGTTGTTGCAGGTGACCTCAACGCACAGGTGGGTAGACTGAGTGAGGCAGAAAGGCACTTAGGTGGCACTTTCGGAATCCCAGCTGAACGTACAGATAACGGTGATCGCCTATTACAACTATGCTCAGATAACCGCCTATTTTTAGCCAGCACAAATTTCAGACATAAAGAAAGGCACTGTCTGACCTGGCGTCCACCGAGCTCGACTCAGCGATGGACACAGATAGACCACATTGCTATTAGTCATCGCTGGAGAGGATCGGTGGAAGACTGCCGCTCCTTCTGGAGTACGTGTTTGGACAGCGATCATGCGTTGGTCCGAGCACGTATATGCCTGCGTCTCAATGGACGTAGAAAAAATTTGGCAACAAAACCACTACGAGTTCTGCTGGACAACGAAAACACCAAAGCCGTGTTCAGTGAGAAGTTGGCTAGGCAGTTATCGGAACAAAAGACTGTCACTCATCCAGAAGAAGCTTGGTGCCATCTTCAGTCTACTGTAAAAGCAGCACTGGAGACTGTAGCCGACTCCAAGATAATGGCTAAAAAGAGCCAGTGGATATCAGCAGCTTCTTCCAAACTAATGGATGCACGTGAATGCATCCCTGCAGGCTCTGAGTACAATGAAGAGCGAGCGCAACTTAAAAGTAGACTGATGAAAAGTCTGCGCAACGATCGCGAACAGCGGTGGTGGCGATTTATAACAGTAGACAGTTATTTAGACTTATTAAGTAGACTGGGGAGAAGGACGGGTCTGCGATTCATTCGCAGGGGAGACGACTGGAACGATGTGTAGAACACTTCGAGGAACAGTTTAACTGGCCTCCTGCCACCATCGTTGCCCGCTATACAGTCGGATCCTAAATAGAACATTGAAATAGCCCCCCCCTTCGCCAACACTGGCAGAAGTCCAAAAAGCAGTAGGTAACCTGAAACGAGGAAGGACAGCAGGGCCAGATGGACTAGCTCCTGAGGTATACAAGGATGATGGCAAGGTGCTCTTAGTTAGGTTAACGGGAGTGTTAACCAGTATATGGGAATCAAATGCAATCCCCTCTGACCGGTCTAAGTCCCTGATTATCCCAGTCTTCAAGAATGGCAAGAAGTCCTCTTGTGATAACCACAGAGGAATCAGCCTGACGAACATAGTGTCGAAGATCCTAGGTTCTATAATTCTTCGACGCTTGAGTGGAGCTCGGGAACAGCAAGGTCGAGAAAACCAAGCAGACTTTAGACCTGGCCGCAAATGTATCGACCAAGTATTCACACTGCGCCAGGTTTTGGAACACAGATACGCTTACCGGCGCCCGACACTAGCTGTATTTCTCGACCTGATGACGGTGGTATTCGACTCCATTGATCGAAAAGTCTTGTGGCAGTGTCACTGAAAAGTGTGCCGAGTATGTACATCACTTTATTGAAGGCTCTCTACTCGAACACTTGTAGGCGTGTTAGAGTCTATAGTGAGATGTCCGGGAGGCTGTGCTTATCCAGTGGTGTCCGTCGAGGGTGCCCGCTCTCCATTCTTACTCAATTTCATCATAGATATTCTTATGGAGGTCTTCCTCTTGTCACTTTACTACACATAGAGGTTGACCTAATCGCAGGAGAATTTTCATTAGACCTAGAATATGCAGATGACGTAGCCCTGTCAGGTGAAGACGCTGACAAGATGCAGAGTCTTCTAGACAGAGTGGCAATTCGAGAATGTTTGGGATGCGGTTCTCATCACCCAAATGCAAATTTTTGCTCCAGGATTGGTCTTCAGCAGTACCACGGCTAACTATAAAGAGCGAAGTGGTTGAGTGTGTCGACCAGGCCAGCCCTTGTGTCTCAGTGGCCAATGAGATCTCTGCACGGATACAAAAGGCTCGATTGGCTTTTGCCAATTTACGTCACGTATGGCGCTGCCGTGATATCCGTTTGTCTATTAAGGTTTGCGTGTACTGCACAGCAGTCCGCTCTGTTCTACTGTATGGCTGTGAAACATGGCCATTGAAGCTGGAGAAAGACACGAGAAGGCTTCAGGTGTTTGACCACCGTTGCCTTCGTAGTATAGACCTTATTCCGTGGTGTCACCACGTGAGTAATGCAGAAGTCAGGTGTAGAGTTTTAGGGAGTAGAAGTAAATCAGTTGACGAGGTTATGAACCTTCATCGACTGAGATGGTTGGGACACGTACTACATATGCCTAGTCACCGATTGCCTCGTCACACAAAGTTGGCTGAGGTGGGTCCAGGCTGGAAAAAGGTCCGAGGTGGCCAGATTAAAACATGGCACCAATGTATGAAGTCTCTGACTGTTGGTTTGAGTCATGTGGGGCGATGCAGATTAGGTGGTTGGGGTCGGCGGGACAAGAGGAAGCAGTGGTTGGAGATTCTAGGTGGTATGGCTTAGAATTGATGTCAGTGGTGCAGATGTATACACACATTATCCTCATCTTAACGACGCTATATTAAATCTCACCATTTTGTCATCCTCCTTTTTTCTTCTCGTACTTTATATTTTTTGGACTGCATTCTTTTATTTTCATCCTTCACCTGACTACCTTTCTACTTGATGAACTGACGTGAGGTGTGGCAACTCGGACAGTTACGCAGTAATGCCTGGTCCTAGGTTTATCTGGAATGGTGATTTGGTGTTTGAGCTTTGATATTTTATCTTAGCATTCCTTGTAGATCTGTTCAATGGTTGTGAATCGCATGTAGGTGAGAAGTTTGTTTTCTGTACAAATTGATGCTATACCTACATTGGTAAGTCCATAAGGGCTAGCCACGTTGGCTAGGTGATATCAAGTGGGTGAGCACACTTGCGTCCTGTGTCTCTCAGACGAAAGTCTGTTATCCAATTTAGCATAAGGCTTGGACGTTGAAGGCTGCCATGTGAAAGTGACACTATCGTTTTATAAGGTTAGAAATGGTTTTGCTAGTTCGGATCTTTAGCATGGTGAGAGGTTCAGATAGTTTTAAAAAGCCCAATAGTTTTAATATAACTGAAGCTAAGGAAGGTAAATTTGAGTAAGTTGGGTTTCGTATGCTGCTGATAGAGTGTGCTTGATTGGCACTTTTTGAATACGCACACAGTGAAAGTTGTTTTTGTAAGGTACCTGGTAGAGAAAGAAGATTAATTCTTCCTGACTCCACAACCCAAGAACATCTGTTTAAGGCTTGTCGTACATGGCTTATTAGAATTGTTATACTGTCGGCACTGAAAGAGCGCGAGGCAGGGAGAAGTTTAATTTCCAGCCCGACCTTTTCCACTCCCTTTTTTTCACAGGGAAGGCAGCATTAGTATAGTATTATTAGTCATCTGTGGAAAGCGCCTTACTGCTATCAGACTTTGTACAGTCAACAGTACAATTTTACTGTTGGACTTCGATCATAACATAACTGTTTTCACTGTGATGCTGACTTCGTTTTGTGCTACCACTGACTGACATACCTTTCTATTGTGATAGAACTTTGAAGAACAAGCGTCCCAGCTAGTGTTTTTCATTCGGTCATTGTGGCGTGCATGCCATAGCACTACGTTAGGGTGGCAGGTATCAGTTGGAATGAGTGGCTTAGTGAAACAGAGATACACAATAATAGATTTAAAAGTAGTAAAGTAAAACAGTGTAGTTCTTATGTGAAAGTAACAGTGTTAAAACCCGAAACGGTCGAATTTATCACTTGGGCAGAAATAATAGCAACACTAGGTAGGTGTCTTTTCTAAAAATAAGCACCATTCTTTGGTGTTACTTTTACGAGTGAAAATGGATGCGCGAAATTTTTCCTGCAGGTAACAGCGTGGATGTAGCTATGGATTTTCCGTCCTTTTATTATTCTCCGTCTAATACACACTTTTCACTTAGGTACCGTTGTTCAGAAATATTCATTGTATTATTTTCTTATCAAAATGTTGATGGTATTATCCAGTGACTTTATGGCTACTTTGGTGTATACTGATATATGTCCAACAGGTTGTACAAAAATCCACACGATAGAGCATTTAGGGGGGAAAGCTCCCATCAAATTTTGAATGTGAACAAAAACCGAAATACGGCTCATCTAACCTGTTTATGATTGTTTCTGTACTCTATGAAAAGCAGATGTATGACTTATTGTTTGTACTTTTATGAGTTTTCATGTCAAGAAAGTCGCATCGTTCTATTTAGATGAAGCCTAATCGGTTACATTAAGCCTAGGGTAACTGTTACCTGTAGCGTTGTCTTTCTGTTGAGTTATATGTGTCCCAGTTAGATTATAACTCGGATTCCATTATGATACTTTATGCAAGAGAAGAGGGCTTGTATGTAATTATCTCCACGTTTATTTTTTACTGACTTCACCATGATTTTTGATTTGATCGTCTGCTGTTGTAGTTAAGGTATGAAATCTTCGCTGTACTCCTATCAATAAAGAACCATCCAGTAATAAGTGTTCACGACACTGGAATTATTGACTGGTCGCACTCGATTTCTGTCCGTGTAGGAAGCTGTTTTTCTCTGAGGTTCAAAAGTACTGACAATCTAAACACGAACTTGTTGTTGTAAACCTAGTGAAATGAAACAGATGGAAATTGAAATATTAGGACTAAATAATCATACAAAGATAGTGAGTGGTAAGCAATAAAAGTCACTATCTTTATTATTTATTTATTTAAGCCAATTTGGTTTTGTCTTATATTGATATCATATATTATTTATATTGCTGATACTACAGTTACGTATTGCTCAAGAAGAGATTATCATACGCTTATGGTTCATGTGCTTTAGTGATGTTTCATCTTTAAAAGTGCACTGAGTATTGCGTCACATGGCATTCCCACCCATAACTGATCTTTTTAAAGATTTTGTATTATTCATTTGTAAGGTAGTTAGTTCCACGGTCACATCAGTAGTGGGTGAATTTATGCGATTTCTTTTTTTTCTGGAACGTTTGGCACATGTTGGTTTCCTTTCAACCTGTTTTACATTTTATATTCTAACTGTCAGTTGAGCTTGCAGGGTCAAACAGTAATTAATTTTCATCCTATCCAAATTGTCTATTTCGAGGGAAACCTCATATGCTACTGTTATACGTCACTAAGCTAATATCATAAAGGAAAATGAATGAAATGCAGCTCAGCACCCCTCGTTTGTGTTCGTAAATTAGACAATGAGCCTAACCTATTTAATCCTAGTATCTGGTTTCGCAGATCCTCGATAAGTGAAGGATAGTTTAAACCTCCAATCCGTTTGTTGACAGTTGAATACCCAAACCATGGACCCACAGCGTTACTTACTATGATAATACTTTGTCATGTTTCAAGTAATCTTGTAATTTCTGTTGTTTATTTATTTTTCTTCAGGTACTGGATCTGTCTGCTCAATGAAATAGTGCTTTACACTGCCCAGTTTGTGACTTTTTTGTTGCAGGCAACACGTTCAATTTACGCTTGCTGCCTCTATACATTGTTCAGTCATGTATTATTTTGACAGTTGGGTGTAGCTTGTTGCCATTCGTCTATTTTTGATATCGTTATTAAATTTATTATGTGACAGTCCACCTTATTTCCAACATATTTTGTTTTCTCCTTTACTTCTAAGAATTATCAATATATTTACTATGTAACGTAGGTTGGTTACTTTGGTAACTAGTGATCCAATGCATCAAGTCTTTTGATACATTTCTTACTTAGTCAACAATTCATTTCAGTGCACTCGTGAATGAGCTTTTTCATTTTCGGGGAATAAATTTTTTGTAATATAGATATGTACACAATGAAAAGTAACGGATCTTAATATTATGGGCTGAGGAAATCCTGTATTCAAACAGCCAATTTTTTTTTTGAATGACAATTAATATGAAGAAATAGCTATTGTGAATAATAAATCCTTACTATCGTGGCATCAATTGAGATTTTTTTTAACAATGCGTAAGCCTCGCTCCAGCTACTTACCTAATTACGAGAAAGTTAAACATATCATGTGGTTGCATCCAAGTATATCTAGGTGTAATTTTACGTATTTGTCATCTCATGAAAGCAACACCTCTGCTGCCTAAGAATAGTGCACTTCGATCATAACTTTTACTATGTACTTTTGTTCGTTATATATAGGTATTGTATTTGTACTTCTCGTTTGGCTTGTAGTTTTCACAGTTGGTGAATGTTCGACATGTGACAGTTGCATGTTTTGTAGCTGTCTATTCAATATAAGGAAAATTGTCCCTGCACGTAAAGAGGTGGTCTAGTTAAGAAAAGTCCACTGATTTCTAAAATCAGAAATTCTAAAGGTATGTGGGAAGAAATATGGCATATTTTTTGATGTTAGAAGTTCATGTTTCCATGAGACTTTAGGGTGAAGGGTTTGTTGTTTATTCGTACGTAAAACCCAGCACCCACTTCCAGTTTATTCACTAGACTGCAATACAAAAGTGGTGTTCAAGGATAATACGGGAAAAGAGCAAAAACATCTGTCAGGATTGTTGCGACCTTCAGTATTTCAAGAAGGGGGGCCTTGTTCCCAAAAAGAATAGAGAAATTTCGTTGACTGAATACCATATGAGATCTTTACGCCAAAGTGCTGATTTCTGCTTATGTGAACGACGATAATTGGCGTTAACCTTTTTTGTCAATAGTATGTCGAAGGAAATGGAGCGGTTCGACACCTATTTGGTACTTTTAGGTGTTCACTGTAATACCATAGCTTTTCAGTCCGTCAAACCTGAGGTCCAAGTGCTTAGTTCTAGTATCCTTATCTGAACTCTTAAGGACAGTCTTCTATGTAAAGTTGGGTAAAGTCTAAACCACAGAAGTCATTCATAAAGTTGTTGGCCTGTTTGTGCAAAAGCCATGCACAGAAATTCAAACAGTACAAAAGGCGCAGTAAAGGCTGTTCTTGAGATATTTTCTTTTATAGTTATATTATTAAACGCTTTGGCTAGGTCGATGCTGGAAATATGTTCATTCCACACAGTCACGGTTAAGTCGGAAATGTGAGGTTTCAAGAGGCAGTCGGAAACCAATAATTCCTTTTTCCGCTACCACTATATGTAAGCTATCTATACCAGATGTCTTTTGCACGTAATATTCTATTTTAAAAACAGGTGCGTTGATATCGTTATGCTAATCTGCCACGAATTCAAATCCCATGTCAAGGTTTTTAAAGACTTATGTAAGTATATTTTTGCGAAGCACGCTTAAGAGTACCACGTGTTCCGAAGATTTATTGATCGATAACCTGGTTTACACTGCTCTATTTCCCGAAGTTGATTAGCTGTAGGTGGTGTATCATTCGTCATCATGTTAGTTGCCTTGCTCTTGATCATACACGCGTCATTTTAAGTATTAAAACCCTTTATATAATGCTTCTGTCATAACGGCTGACAAAAAATCTTTCTTTTCTGTTTACGTCAGACTACTTGGTACTCACGTCTTAAATGTTGGTTGTCATTGGAAGTCACTGACAGCAAGTACTTTTAGTGCCAAAATTATGCAAGTATCTGGAATATCATGTTATCCAACCTCAGTTTGAAATGGTGAATTGTTGATCTATTTGCCTCTGTCTAAGATAAACAATGGATCACTCAAATCCATGTGCACGCATGTTTACATCTGATAACCTATTGCTAGTTCGGAAACCTAGAATCCGATGTGAAATAATCTTCCTTAGGATATGTAAGACTGAAAAGCCAGACATAAAATCAACGTCAAACCTTGTGCTCAAGTGCATCGGCTCAAGTCGCTACATTTTACAGTAGCAAACAAAAAACAAGTGTATATAAACAGTGATACCAAAGTAGAGATAATTGTATGACAGAAAGGATAGGTGTAAATATTTAGGCTTTTGAAGACGTCAAGGCTTGGATACATCTGGACCATTATGATCGGTTTTCAGCGATGTCATCAAGAGTCCTCAATCACTTATATCGTCCTGTAGACCTAAGTCCCGTAGAAGTCTACAAATCCTTAACCGCTCAGGCCATTCCTGCGAGACTTGGTGGGTTGGTGCACATCCTAGTCTGGACAACCTGGACCTTCTTCCTACTCCATTCTACTTCCACGGTGAGTTAGGTACCGTCTATGCATGCGCTATAGGCAAATACCCTTGGACTTCTGCTCAACGGCTTCAGAAGACCCTGCACTGCATCAGCGTCTTCACCCAGCAAGACAATGTCGTCTGTATACTTCACCAGATGAACTTCAAGTGATAGACTAATCCGTGTGAAGTAGGACGTACCTGAGGTTATATTTATTAGTAAGTCTATAAGGAAGTTAAATCGGAACGGTGACAGTAAGCATCCCTGGCGGATACCACTAGTAGTCGTCTATTCACATGACATTTCTCCATAAGCCCTGACACGCTGTGTGATTTTGAGTCATGAGCCCTGATTGGCGTTATTTGCTTTCCCAGTACTCCCTTCACAATCAGAAACTGCCACAACACCTTATAGTCGACTGAGCCAAGTGTCGCTTTCAGGTCAAGAAATAAGGCAAGTTTCAGTCGCCGATAGGTATACCTGTATTCCAGAACCTGTAGGACGTTCAAATTTTGACGATGCAAGGTCGTTCAGGAACCTCGCCTGGTTAACTAGTACACTAGTTACTAGAAGGTCCTAAGCCCGCATAAAGAGGCAAGTTTGGGCGTACGGCTAGCAACCCTACTCCGTAAAACAAATCTAACAGCTACAAAAACTCCAAAGCACAAACAAAATATAAAAAACAGAGGCAAAATTATTCCTCTCTGGAATCGGAGAGGCGAAATGACGCCGGTTGGTGAAAGAGTTCAGGAAACCAGTCGACCGATGTGTCTTCTCGTCTCTCGATGAAAGCGAAATTAAACGTGAGGACATGGAATATCAGCACCATGTTTGAACTCAGCAAGGCAGCCCAGTTGCAAGCGAGATGAGGAGGTATCATAATGAAGTGCTTGGGATTTGCGAAAGCAGATGGAATGGGAGTGGACTCTCCAAACTGTCAACTGGAGAATCAGTAATCTACTCCGATATTGTCACCCAGACGACAACCACGAGCACACTGAGTGATGGAGTGGCTATCATGATGTCCCCCTCCCAAGAGCATCTCAGGCTGTCATGCAGTGGAAACCAGTCTCCTCCAGCATGGGGATGATGACAGCAAAGTTCAACTCAAAAGGTAGGAAAGTCACGATCATACAATGCTACGCCACGCACCTATAAATCATGCAGAGCAAGAGAAGAAGGAGGAATTCTACAGACAACTGCAATCAACACTGGACAAGACACCACTCCAGTTGGCGACATCAAAATTCTAATTGGTGGGGTGACATGAATGCCAAACTGGGAGGGGACAACACGGGAAGAGAACTAACTGATCATGGGTCGAGAAGTGCTCGGTCAGGTGATGAACGAGAATGGAGAATTGTTTGCAGAATTCTGTGCATT